GTGAGGAGAGACAACTGAAGAGGAGGAACATAGGCGCCTCATCTTCAGAGACGCTCCGGGAAAGGTGTGGCTGTAGCTCTTACCTACACTTGAGCTGCTTAGGCAATCACACCTACAGCACAAGTGACCCCCTTTTCATATCCTGATTATATCTGGGTGAAGCTGTCCTCCATGGGGCTCCCTGTACCACAGGAACAAAACCCTTCAACATGAACAAAACTACATATTTGGGAAAAACATCTTGTAAATTCTAATTTCTTAGGTGTCATTCAAAACAGAGAAGCTGTCAGTAGACCTTAGCAATGGCCTGACATCAGCAGACTTGGCCATCAGGAAATCTAGAAAGCTCCAAAGGTTGTGTAGTCCATGCAAATGTATATTTTGCTCAGGAGTGAATGTAGCTTACATCAGATTTTTCAAAAGCATTTATGTTTCCAAAGAAGCTTTATTACCATTGCTGATTTTTTGAAATATGTTGACCCAGTTGAAAAAGAACAGATGCAATTTTAAAAATAAAGCATATGGTTCTTTTGGGTCTCTGATTTTTTAGCATTCTCAATTATCTTACTGCCTTAATATGAGAAAACCTATTTATCAAAAATACCATTTTACAGATTAACAAACTAAGTTCTTAAGGAATTAAAGTAAGTATCTTACCTAGGAAAAAATGAGAACTTAGTGAGTTGGAAGCAAAGAGGAGAAAATTAATATACTGCTTTTAGCAAGGGAGGATTCTCAGTGACAATACACGTCATGTCATAAATAAATCCCATTGGTCATAATAGCAACACCCTGGGAGGCTGAGACAGGGGGATGCTACAAATTCAGGCCACCAACTTAGTGGCTCTGTAAAATGCAGTCTCAAATAAAAAATAGTTTACAAAAGGCTGGGGATAAAAAGAATTCTATGTCCTAGATACACTTTATCTACATGACTAATTAAAACATCACAGCAATTCCACAAGACATTATTCTTTGGTCTTCTTGGGTATTTTTTTTTAATTTTTCAGAGTTTTTCCATTTTACTTAGAATCATATTTATGCATATTCATTTTCAATTAGTAGAAAGCAGATCTTTAAAGACTTCAACAAATTGCCCATGACCACACTTCTGATAAGTGTCAGAGGAGGGGGTCTGATTCCATGTCTGTCTGTCTCCCAAAATCTACATGGGATGTGCTGTAATATTTGTATACTTGGAGGAAAAGAAAACTTGCCCGTACACTGGGGACAGTTTCTTAGATCCCTTTGTATTCTCCACTGACTTGCTGCACTCTGCATGGCAAGACACTCGATAAATATTTGTTGGCTAAAGAAACCTGGTCTCGGGCTCCCACCCTGCCATGGACTTAGTGACTCAGTCTCCTGAAACTTGGAGCTGCAGGTGGTTACTCAGCTGGGCAACTTCAGGGAACATTTGAAATCAATTATGGGTATGGAGGAACCTATTAAAAGTTTCTCTCTTGTGTATGTTGGGGTTGAAGGAGAGGAAAGGAAGTTGAAAAGGAGTGGAGAAAGCCAGTATGGTTTCGGGGCTTGGTGCTGCAGCTCCAAGAGTTCATGCCAAATGAGACAGCATTTGGCTTCTTCTACCACTCATCCTAGTAGCCCTACTGTGTGGGCTCCTGGCTTCAGGCTTCTCCTCAATGGCTGCAACGCTCTGAATTCCCAGGCTTTTGACTATTGCCTTCATAGAGGACCCTACCACGAAGCAGTTGCACACATTCTCCCCTTGGCCTTGACCTTGGCCTTGGTCAATCTGTCTCAACTGTGGGAAACAGGCAACTTCAGGTCTACCACCACCATGCAGGAAGCCCCAACTCACTCCCCAGGCCCAGGGCCAGAGAGACCTTCAGTATTTAAATTCTGTGTGTCCTGAGTTGCCCTTGACCCTCAATGAAAGCATCTGGCAATCCATTCCGTTCGGGAGCCCAACTCCCTGTTTTGAAAGAATATGGGTGCTTGGTGTGGAAGTAGAGGGTATTTGCTTGATTTTGTTTGTCTTATGGTTACTAGTATAACAAGTTTGTTACAATCTCCTTAGTCCTTTCATGCAGGCCCTGCAAAAAAAGACTTAAATGAAGCTGATCCCAAAGAATGTCAACCAACAACATTCTAGAAGATGATGATTAAATTGTAGCGTAGAGGCCAGGCACGACAGCCCTTCAAGGAAGCAGACATACCCAGAACCTGGCCTTCTCCTAGTTTGTGTGCAAAGCAACAGTGCCACCTAGTGCCCTTACAGGAAGTATTCCCTAAGGTCCCTGGGTGGGGGTGGGAGTGGGTGCTCTACAAGGCTGATTTGCTCACATCTCTGCTGAAGAGAAAATACCCCAAGTTTGGTAGATGGAAGACCAGGAAACTTGGTTAAAGTTAAATAGCTAGAAGCTGAGGTTTGAGAGCTGTTGGGAAAGCACATGGAATTTTAGAGTACCTTGGACTGCCCTCCATGATTGTCTGCAGTTCCCAGGGACAGGAGTCTATGTCATCCTGCTACATAGGTGAAGCTGAGCTGTCCTGAGACAGGCACTGACCAGCTCAACCACCAAGGTGGGCTTCTGTGCATAGGTATGCATAAATCACTGCAACTTGAAGACTACTCCTACAGAGGACCTGCTTTGGCAACTTCACATTCCTCAGCCACTAGGTTCATCATGAAATATAAGTAGCCAAGCACAAAGATGAGACAAGGAGGCCTACATTCTCAGGAGCCCCTTGCTAGAATCCCAAACAATGAACACTTTGTTTCTAACCCCTATCTTTGACACATTATTACCCTAAATCCTTTGTACTTCCTGCTGTGTACAAACCTGAAGAAAGATGCAAAGAGACCTGGGTGTCTGGGTGTTCTCTGTCCTTGGCCCTTGTGTAGGAGACCTCCAGGGGAAGCCCAGGCAGGCTGCAGGGACCACTTGGATTGGAAGAGAAAGAAACCTCAGCAGCTAGACTGTCTGCAAAAGATTTCCTGCCCAATTTTACATGCTTACAGAGGTTAAAAGAGTTCAGATGGGTACTTAGGAGCAGGCTCAGAGTGTGTGCTGAGCAAGGCAGAGGCAGCTGGTGGTGATGGATGGGGGGAAGGTAAGGAGGTGCATGGTGGCGAGGCTGGGAGGTCAAATCCTGACACAGCATGCCTCTGTGTACATCATGAGACAGAAGACATATGGAGAAGTGGGACAGGGGTCAGGAATCCACAGTCCTTTTTCCCCAGGTTGGAGCTTTAATAACCCAAAGCAATAACCCCTCAGGCCCTCCCACATATATTCTTGTTGCATCCCTCTCTAACTCTTCACAGCCTGGGAGCCGCTCCCAGTTCCCTCCATTGCTACTGCAAGAGGAGGGGCAGACAGAATTGTAGGTCTCAGTCTAGCCTGTAAGCATGCAGCTTCCCTGGCAGATGGGTACTAGGAAGCAAGATTAGGCAGTAAGAAGATGTCATCTGGGAAAAGCCATGAAGCTGCCAACTCTGATCAGATAATCATCTCATTATTTCTTCCTTTTGGCCATGGAATAAGGATTTCCTTCTACACTTTCTCTGCTCCCACCTACCTTGCAGCCCAGGCCCTTTTCTTTCCCCTTTCCTCACCCCCTCTCCCACCCAAAAATAAAATAAAGCAAAACCACAAGAGTTGAGAGTGCTCAGTGTCTGGGAATCCCAGCTTCCAAAGAAGAAATTGCAGCCAAAGAGGGGGAGACAGAGTGTCCAGAAGGGATGTTCCAGCAACACCCCAGTGGAAGACACTCCTTCCTTCCAGATTTCTTTCCTTGATCTGAAACTTATTTGCAGGGATACAGAAACCTGAGAAGTTTTTGATTTGGAGAGTTGTAAGCAATTCAGGGGCTCTGGCGTTCTATCGCCAGCCTACCTCTGGCATGCCTCTTATTGCCCCAGTTTCTCCATCAATGTCTTGAGACTGGCAAACATCAGAGGGTTGTGGATAATCCCAATTAAGATGCAATAATTTTACTATGTGCCTTATTTTGTGTTAAATACTCCTTTAGAATACCCGAAATGAGAATAAGACACTGAATGGTGTCTAATCTTCACCCCTTGCTTGAAATCAACCTTCTCAGTAAGGCAAAGGGAGACATCTTGGGGTATGGGTGGGGGTCTCTCTACAAGGGTTGGTGTGACTGAATCGCATAGCAATCAGCCAAGCAACAGACTCATCTTATTCTACTCTTTGCCTTTCTGGATGACTTTTCATAAAAACAAAAATCTGTGAACAACACAAAATAAACATAGGTAACACTCCCAGACAGGTGCCTCTGATTAACACTATAATTACACAAGGTTTCATTTCAGATACCTCTTACAACAGCCAGGGCTAAACGCCAGGACTCTGGCTTGGGAGCGCTCACCTTTTCCAGCAGACTGTGCTGTTGCTAGGATGTGCACATGGCTTCTGGGACAAGACAGAGGGACCCCAGGACATCGGACAGGTGCTACCTTTCTGCCTAGTCCCAAGGCTGCTTGGAGGAAAGGCCATCCATCAGAACTTGATGGCTGTGCACTTGGCACCCTGTTCCCTCACTGCCTAGACCAGTCTATGCATGACTTACTGCTCAGATCCTTGGACTTGAATTTATTCTCAAAGATGCCTGATCACCCCACACTAACTACCCAAAACAATGTAATGCCTCTCTCCCTTACCCCCATTGGCAAAAAAAAAAAAAAAACCTGAATCTTTTACTTTTAAAGAAGGTGAGAGCGAGGCTGAAGGACTCCAAAGTGTAAGCACAATGTATAGAAATACAAGAGAGTAATATATGGGCCAAATGCCACTATGGTGACAGGGTTTTTATCTTCTCTTCAATAGTGTCTGGAATCCTGCTGTGCTAATAAAAACTCAGCCCCCAGCTCCTCCCGAGCCAGCTCTTCCTGGCCCTTCCTGGCTCTCCTCTTCTGTCCCATCCACTGAGGCTTCCTGTACCTAACCCCATCACAAATGGAGGCAGCCACACCCCAAGATCTCGCAAGCTCAGCAGTGAATCGTTACCTGCAATGATGGCTGGGTTGTTCTGTCCTCCCTCTGGTCTCACCCAGGCTTCCACTGTGAACGCCTCCCTGGGAATGTCAGCCAGCAGTTCTGGACGCAGCCGCAGCCGCTCCCGCCTCCCAGAGAAGTACAGAACAGGCAGTCCTCTTTGGGGGTTAAAGGTCTTGGGTTTCCAGGCTGGGCCCCCGCCACCATCTTGGATGCTGTCCTCCAATGGACTGCTTGGAACCCTCTGTGGAAGACGGGGGTCCTTAGGCCAGTGTGGGAAAGGCCAGACAGAGGTACTGGGATCTCCAGGCACATCTTCTGCCTGCCTCTTCACTACGCGCCGAGGATGCCTGGCCCGGGCCCAGCCCTTCCCCTGGCTTTCTGCTGCTGGCTCTTTCGGGTCCGCAGAGGTGTTAATGGTGACCCTGGCTGAGTGTTCCTGCAGTGCAGCCTCACCTAGCAGCTCCTTGGATCCCAGGTTTCCAAGATAAGTGTCATCCTCTTCCAGCAGCTCAGATTGCCCAATAGGACCATCCTCTGCCCAGGGGGCAGCTGGCTGCTCAATCTCCCTCCCTACTCCTGCTGTATTTGCAGTCAGGTCTTGGGAAACACGGCTGGCAGCCTTTCCCTCAGCATTTGGTGTGCCCTGTCCTGAGTGATGAGCTCCCTGCACCCTCACAGGGGAGGGTCTCAGGTAATTCCCAGGGCTCCTGGGGTAGACCCCTAAGGGGTGATGCTGGGGAGCAGCTCTGGGCCTTTGAACCTTTGCCCCCAACCAACAGCGGTCTCCTTCCAACAGCACCTGTTTCAGGGGTCCCCTCTGAACCACAGATCTCTTGCCAGTCCATCCTCGCTCAGAGTTGGTCGTGTGGAGCACCCATCCAGTCAGGATCACCAAGCTCAGCTGTAGGAGTTTTAAACACATCACGCCTCCCAAAGCTCTCCCTGCAGAGCCAGAAGTCAATGTCTGGGTACCACACCAGAGTGATGGAGACAGGAGAGACAGACGGCAAACAATGGCCTCACAGTCACCGGGGGAAACCGTTTTGTTCACAAAGTAAACTTTTTCAAGTAGCCCCAAAAGAGCATCTCTTCTGGCTACCTGGGATGGAAACTGTGCCCGCGTGCCTGCTGGGCTGCTCCCGCTGTGTGTGAGTCCCTCACTCTGCTCCTCTGACTTCTCTTCCACTTCTAATTTAGTCCTTGCAGAATGAAGTTAATTGCTCTTGTTTCCTTTGAATGCCTTCCCAGAAGCTCCGGTTTCTTCTTTTTCTTTTTCTTCCTTCCTCAATAACTCCTCCCCTCTCTGATACTAGAAGAACATGACGCAAGCCCAATTCTCTCAGATATGCACTCACAAACACATACCCCTGGCTACCTGAAGTCATTCAAAACAATCTCATTCTCTCCTTTCTGTTTCTTTCTCTTCTTCCTTGCCTAGATGTTCCTTCTCTTTTTGTAGCCCTTACTCCAAAATATGTTCACCTTCAAACAAATGGCTAGGAAAACTTTTCCATAGAGATACAAAATTCAGTGGTTATTGATGAAAATGCACAAAGAATGTGGGGGCACAGAAGCCCACACTGGTACTTAACTTTCACTCTCCAGATGTTCTGAGCCAGGTCCCCATCCAGCTTCTAGTCCACCCTTGCAGGTGAGAGTCTCACCCTCAGCTTGGTGTTCAGGGCTGTTAAGGCTTGAAGGTTTCTATAATCCCCAACACAACTTGTTGGTTGTGTTTTAAGTCTCCTGGCTGCCAGTCTGCTGTTCTCCTAATCAAATGAAGCTGACAGCCCTTGACTTCACCTTCTGGGAGTCGTGTGGGTCCCTGGGAAGATGGAAAAAGAACAAAATGAAAAGCATATATTTGAGGGACCAGTTCCCTCTGGTCTCTCCTGTTGCCCTTCACTCCCTTTCTCTCTGTCCGTAATTATCTTCTTGTCTTTTCATTTAAAGGTAATGATGATGTCAAAACTAATAAGTTTGGTACATCACTCCACCTCCTGTTTGTCCCCTCCTTCCTCCTGAAATCCTCCCCACCTCACAGAGGCACAGGGGACAAACATTTCCCTTGGCTTCCCCAGTAAACATCTCAGGCTTTTTCTCTCAGCGGCTGCAGCCTACACAATCAATAGCAAACAATCAATACTGTTTTGGAGCACTCCTTCCTGTTCTCTCTCTCTCTCTCTCTCTCTCTCTCTCTCTCTCTCTCTCTCTCACACACACAATTTGATCAGACCTGCCTAATAAGCCCACTCTAAGTTTTCTACTCACATATTCTTTTGTTTAGTCGTAAACCTTTTGTACTTTTTTCTTATTTCAATCATTCAAAAGAACAGTGCTCTAAATTCACTTCATGGTAGACATTGAGAAAAAGAAAAAAATCAATTATCCTGCTGTGAGAAGCATTGAGTGGAAATCCCATAGATTCCTAACACATAAATCTTTTTCTCAGGAGTTTCTCAACCTGAAGTTTGTAAGAGTCATTGTATGCTGGGTGAGCAAATAAACAAATGAGATGCTCAGAATAAGTAATTTATAAAAAAAAAATGAACAGCTAAACTCAAGGAACTATTTTTCCAGTTGATCAGAAGTGACTGGGTAGAATAGGGAAGTAAATGCTTTGACTTTAACCTCTGTCATGTTAGCCTAATTGCTTAGATGCCAGCTTTCTCCTAGTCCCACCCCTTACACACATGTGCATGAACACAAACACATGGGCACAACACAGAGCAGAATTCTGAATGCCGAGACAAGTGAGCATGTCTGGCTGCAGGTGGCACCTAACAGGTTGAGAAACACGTTAGATCCTTCACTCAAGAATAAGAAAATTGCTGACACTTTTAAAGTCACTGCCTGTGATGCCCTCACCTGAAACGTACAGCCCACATGCTTTGGAGTGAGCTCACACTGCCTCCTGTGCCTTGGGCTCCTCATTATCTTCTAAAGTTCTCTAACCCAGCTAATTGGTGGCTTATTGGTTTTTTTAAAAAACTGCACACAAAACTCCCTATCCCTGGCATGCCTCCTTCCCATGTTGCATCCTCTGAGTCCTCAAAGTCCCCCAAGAAGCTATCAGCAGGCACGTGGATGTTACTGAGCAGAGATCTCTTGGCCCTCGACTATGACACACACACACTCTCTTCCTCTCTCTCTGTCTCTCTCTCTGTCTCTCTCTGTCTCTGTCTCTCTCTCTCTCTCTCTCTCTCTCTCTCTCTCTCTCTCTCTCCACTCTTTCCTCACTCAGCTTTTCTGAAGCAAATCAAGAATAAAAACAGAGGCTTTGGGTGGAGAGGAACATGTAAAGAAAATCAGAAAATGAGAGGAGCGGAGAGGAGAGAGAGAGAGAGAGAGAGAGAGAGAGAGAGAGAGAGAGAGAGGAGGCTAGAGAAAAGTGGGACAAGCAGGTTTAGTTTAAGAGAAGGGAAGACACCCAGGTAAGAAAAGGAGAAGCCAATATCCCCCTCCCCCATACCACCCCTCAGCCCCCTGATGAAGGTTTCCTACCATTCATTTCAGGAAGGAGATATAACAGCAAGGAAGAAGAAGTCCGCCTGCTCTTCGCCCCTGTTAGTGTGTAAGTGATCTTGCATCCCCTATAGGTCTCTCCTGGCTCTCAGCTGCTAGTAATCCATTCATAAGGTTTCAAGAAGCAACACAAAACTCAAGCTCCCAGTTAGTTTCTCTCTCTCTCTCTCTCTCTCTCTCTCTCTCTCTCTCTCTCTCTCTCCCCCTTCATTCCTTTGCTCACCACTCTCCTTCAGCTCTTGGCAGTCCAAAGTTTAAAAAAAAATGTTGAACCATTTCTGTGTTTTCCTCCTGTTGTAACTTTGGCTGTGACATCATAACCCTGCCCACCAACACCCCACCTCTCTCCCTTTCCACCCCCCCATCAGCCCCAAACCCCCAAACATTCCCCCACCCACGGAGAAGAAGGGCTTCTGTCAGTTCCAATGTGTGAAAACACAAAGCCACTAGAAGGTGCCCCCTCCCTCCCCTGGTGCCCCTTCTGTCTCCCCCTCCCTGCCTTACCCACCGCTCAGCCCGGCTCTCAAGGCTTTTAACAATGATCCCATCTGTTTGACATGTGCGGAAAGGTGGGCTGGATTCAAAGAATCTGTCAAGTGAATCAGATCAAAAACACTGCACCCCCTCCTCAATTCCATCACTCACACGCGCACACACACACCCCAAGCCCGAGCAAAAGTCTGAGAGAAGTCAGATTTACACAGCACCCACCCTGAATGCCAGGGAGAGAGACACCAAACATGCCAAGGGAAGCCCAGATTTATACATATATAAATTCTGTTGCTTATTTGTTTATGCCAAACACCCACACCCCCAGTCCTCAACCCCTCTCCCTCAAACCCCCCACTTGGCAAGTGCACAGGTTTGAAAGCTGGTAGAATCTGTTTTGAAATCTCCAACGAGAGGGTTTTTCCCCCTTTTTTCACTCCAAAGCACTATCTGTGGCGATCAGACTCGAGCAGGGTTGCCAGCAAATGCAGGAGGCCCCTTCTAGGGTACAGGCTTTCAAACCAGCGAAGCTAGAGGGAATGAATTTAAGGACACACAGCAGGAGCTGGCTGAATTCATTTTATTTTGACGGGGGTAGTTGGGGGAGGAATATCATTTCTGAAATGCCCAAGGAATGAAGGGAGAGGATATGGATTTCTTAAACAGTTTTTGCAAGAGGAGCGGTGTCTTGCTCTGCAGGTAAATCTATAAGGCTAGAAATTGGAGCTTACAGATAAACAAGGACGAGAGGGAGAGGGAGGGAAAGGGAAAGGAGGGAAGAGAGAGGAGACAGGAGAGGGCATGGGGAGATGGGAAAGTAGAGAGAGGGGAGAAGGGGAGAAAGGGGGCGAGGGGGAAGGAAAGGGAAGGAAGAGGGAGGAGTGAGGAAAGAAAGGGGAAAAGGGAAAGGGAGGGAGGGAGGGGGAAGGGAGGAATGGAAGGGGAAAGGGCTGAAATGGAAGAGGGAGGGCAGGAAGACTGGGAAGCACAGAAGAGTATGAGAGGAGAAAGGGCTGAAAACAGAGAAGTGGGGAAGAGAAGAGGGAGAAATGAAACAGAGAGGAAGGGAAAATAGAACCGGGTGGTGAGGCACAGAGAACATGGAGACCAGGAAGGCAGTTAGATCCCTGGTGGGTGAACATAGAGAGCCCACAGAGCAGGTGAAGGGAGGCACTGGCAGAGGAGGCAGAGAGAACAGAGCTCGCAGAGTGGAGGGACTGTCTCTTCAGTGACCTGGCACAGTTTTTAAAAGTCAGGCTGCAAGGCTTTAACATTGCCTCTCTAGGGAAACTCCCGTCCCCTCCTACTTCCCTCCTGCACCTCCTCCGACACCCACCTCTACCTCCCCTCTTTCACCTTTCTTTTCCTAGCATATCTTTCCCTGGAGAACCCATCAGCAAATTCAGACCTTTAGCCATCCTCCCAAAGCACCCCACCCTTAAAAGCCCCTTTCTTTGTTCTATCTACAAAGTGTCCTGGGTCCTCTAGTTTAAAGGTTGGGCTGCTTGTGACATTCTGCACATCATTTCAGCCCAGATTCTACCATGTCTCCTTTAAAGCCAGAATATCAGGGGTGTTTGCTTATATTTACTGCCACAGTAGTGCTGCTCGGTTTCCATCAGCACTGTCATCATTATTAGGGGGCTCTGAGGAAAGAGAAAACCCAGTCCACACTGGCATTCACCTGCAGAATGAAGTATTAGCAGGGGGAGAGAGAGAGAGAGAGAGAGAGAGAGAGAGAGAGAGAGAGAGCTGGAGAGACCCCTTAATATGGTCACTGATCTTCTTTGACTTTCTGATTCCAAAATCTCATCCCTTGAGGAAAATGCTCAGCTGGGAGCCAGCCAAGGAGCGTAGTAATAAAAGCCTCCCAGAACACAACTGAATGCAGGATCTATATATAGGAGCCGGATCTGTTTTAGCTACTTGCAGTCTAAAATGACACCCGGAAACAAACATTTCAGCAATATGTTTATTGGAATCCTATTCAGCTAGTGCTGGAAAGAGTGTACTTCTCCACAGGCTCTCACTGGAAAGCTCAGGGTTGTTGATTTTGTCTCCCCCTCCCCAGTGCTCCTTCTGAGCTGGGAGCCTGTCTCTGTCCTTCAGAAGATCATTTGAGACTCCATGGTAACCTATTATGACCCCCTTGTTTCAGGGATAAAGCAAAGTCACACAATGGATGGCAGGACCAGATACAGCATCTAGATCTCCCTGTGCTGTTTGTCGTCCTCTTCTGCCTATGAACTATAGCTGCCCTAGCTTTGGTGATCTGCCGGGCGCGAGTCATTGGATAGGAAGGCCACATCAAAGGCTTCCATCCTGTGCCCACATCCAGGCAAACAAGTCCAGCAAATGTGTGTTGGTGATATATATTCAAACTCAGAATCACACAGCATTCACAAGGAAATGCAAATCTGGAATTCATGTTCTTCCCTGTGCATTTAGAGCCAAGAGGAGCCTTGTCTTCTTTTCAAATTGTTTGATGCTCCATAAATTAGAAAATCCTATTTTCTCTACAATACAATTACTGTTATTAGTGGTTGTGTTTTGAAAACTGATTTTCATCCTAATAGATTAACAGTCTAGAGACAGATTAATTTACATACCTAGAAGTAGTATGGTGGAGAGATCTATATCCCTCATGACAGTCCCTGTTAGGTAATGTTTCCTGTAAGATTTTGAGTCCTAGAATCATGCTGTAGAGTCCTTTAGTTAAGAAAGCATTTTACAGTGATAGTTACTGTTTACAAAGTTGCTATAAAGTTTGGGCTACAAATAGGAGTGCCTCTGCACCTGGAGTCTCTTCAAAGGGCAACTTTAAAAGAATAACAAATAGACTTGTGCATACGCTTTTCCTCTTATCTAATGCACATGTGTGCATTGTTTATGCCTAAGCATGCAACATAAATGCAAAGCAAGTGTCATGCCCATTTTATGGGTAAGGACACTAAGGATAAAAGAGGCTAACCAGTTTGCTCACAGACCTGCAGTCAGTAAGGACACTGTCAAGACAAGTCTCACATGCTTTATGTTAAGTGAGCAAAGCCAGAATCAAAAGGTCACAGACTGCATGATTCTATTTCTATGACAATCTCAAAGAGGCAACACTGTGGGACAGAGAAGAGGCTAGTGGTTGCCAGGAACTGAGGGTAGAGAAAAAGTTAAATAAAAAAAAAAGAAGATTTAGAAATTATGGGACTATTTTTTATGTGTATTGTGACAATGGTAGATGTCTGTATGGATGTGTCATTGTGTATTTTTGAAAGGTAATTGTATCTAAATTATGCCTCAGAAGGTAAGGGGAAGGGATGGAATCAGGAGTGGGTCTGGGTCTTTGTCTTCCCCACTACTAGGGTATCAAACCAGGGGCGCATGGCCACTGAACTACATTTCCAGTCCTTTTAAAAATTCTTTGAGATAGGAGCTTGCTAAATTACTCAGGCAAGACTGGAATTTGTAGTTCTCCTGACTCAGCCTCCCTAAATGCTGGCACCATGGGCATGTACCACCATGCCTAGCTGGACCAAGCTCTTTTAATTTTGAACAGTGTTCCCTCTATACCCTGGAGGTGCACAAGACCCAAGGAGGGTGTGGCGCTGCTTGATTGCACTTAGAGGAGGCCCCTCTGTGCCTGTGCTTTCTGCATTCTACTTAGACTCCAAGGGGGTCTTCTAGAAACAGACTGGAAAGGGACCAGGCTGGCTGGCAGTCACCACTCCATCAATCCAGATGACCTCAACAAATCAAATAGCCAATCGCCACTGAAAACTGGCCAGTGATTATGCCTCTGTTCTGCCATATAACAGCTACTGGCCTGGGGTACATTAGTGAAGTTCTGAGATATCTGCAGATAAAGACAATGGAATGGAAAACCTGCCAGTTCTCTCCAGGGTCACACTTGAGATTCTTTATGTTTTCTCAGCCCAACGTTTTACTAAGATTGTGTCTTTTTCAGTCATTAAAAAAAAAAAGCTAGCAAGTATGCACTTCCTAGAAATGTACTAGAGATTCAAATACTATTCATTAGCAGTGGACATCTATGACATTTCTTTTGCCCTCTAAAGAATGCCATAACTTCATTAAAACACAGACAGGCAGAAACGGAGCAGTTTGCAGGGGTTTTGTTTTCTGCTATGGAGAAAAGAAAAATGCCCTGTTCGTCCACACTATTGCCAGGTATTTAACAGATCAAATATTAGGGTATGGGATACTTACATAAAATACTTAAATGTGAGCAGTTTTTAACCGTGGTACTGTGCCAGATTTTGTTAATTTGATAATAATATCGACAATGAGCTAATATTTATTACTTAAAATATGGCAGGCAAGGCTGTGGTCACTGTGTATGTGTTAATTGGTTCATACGCTTTCTGTGAGACAGCTAGGTGAGGTTCCGGTGCCCTAGGTATGTGACCCCAGCTGCTAGAAGCTGCTGGGACTGGATCTGCTTTTACCAATGCTCATTGCCCTTGATTTGCAGATCCATTGTGTCCTCACTGGAGCCCAAAGGACAGTCTAACTGTAGATGGGAAACCAGTCTCTCCCCAACTTATTAATTCCATATGGGTAT